GGGGGAGCTCAGCGGGATCCGCAGCGCAGAGAAGCTGGGCGAGCGCCTAGTGTGTTTCCACCGAGACCTGCAGGGGGCGCGCGACTCCTCACCCAGAGGGAGGCCCGCAGCGGCCCGGGCCCCACCCCCGACCGCGGCACAAGTGCACCAGGCCTGCGGGCACCAGGGTCGCGGGCAGCAGCCACGAGAGGCCCAGCGCTAGGAGCGGGCCGGGCGCCTGTGGGAGAGGGGACGGTATCAGGATGCTGGCCGTCGCTCGTGCAGCCAGTGGGGAGCTGAACCCCCTGAGGCTCCAGAGAAAGCTCGGGCCCTCTCCCCGGATAGATGCCGGATTTGTGAACACAAATGCAGGGGGCGCACAGGTACCCTCCAGCCACCCGTGGAAAGACTCGGGATGGCCAACCCCGACCATAACGTGTGTGACCCCCGGAGTACAAGGTCCTGGCAGCCTTGACCCTCGCCCCGCGACGCGCGCATGGCTCGCTGTCACCCGCTTCCACGGCCCCCTGAACTTTTCCTTCGCCGAATTGCTCGCAGTCATGTATTTACGTGTTTCCTGTTTGCGGTCTGTCTCTCCACCAGCGTGTGAGCTACAAGCCTCCCACCCGGAATTTAGAAACGGGGCCCCAGATCCTGGGGACTCCCTGGCGGCGCTCCGGTGGCTTTGGGGCTGGAGTTCTCACCTGAGGCCGGGCTGAGCGGGGCAGGTAGACCTGGTGAAGGGCCTCACACTCCGCCCGGGTGCCTCAGTCGCCCCCTGCAACCTGCAGGGGGCAGCACTTGCCCGAAACCAGAGTAGCGGTGGCCATCAGCATCCTGGGTGGTTTGGCACAAGTAAGGATGCCGAGGCAACGCAGAAGGGAGGGGCAGGGGGGCTGGGGACAGGCGGAAACGGGCTGCCCACACCCTCCTCCACCCCGTGGGGAGAGTGGAAGGGACCAGCCCTTATCAGAAGGGCAGGCTCCCTTCCTCCCAAGCAGCTCCCCAGAAGAGCCCGGGTCCTGCTGCGGGAGCAGGGGACCTGCAGGGGGATGTGCTGGGGGGTACGGAGGAGCCTGCTGTACCGGAGAGATCGGCTGGACAAGGGTCACCCAACTGAAGAGCTGTCCTCAGGGACAGCCTCCTCTGGAAGCCCCTGAGAGGTCACCTCCACCTCGCCCTAGTCTTAGGAGCCCCAAAACTGCCCTTACTGAGCCACAGCTGCAGACTATAAGGAAGTAACAGTCCACGCCCCAATGCCCCTGGGCGCTATGAACACAGACGCTCCCCAGGCTGTGTTCTCCTTGCGCCCCCAGCACAGCGCACTGCACCGGGGGGCTGCCCCCCCACACACACACACCAGGACGGCCCCCGCGAGAGGAACCCGCGTGCACCTGCTTCCACAACACCGGGGCCTCCTCGGCGCCAGGGGGCGCTGTGGAGCTCGAGCTGGCTTCCCGTGCTTTCTTGACCTCCGTTGCTCGCCCCACCCGCGCGATGGGCTCCGAGGCGGCGCAGTTGCTGGAAGCTGCCGACTTCGCGGCTCGCAAGCACCGACGGCAGCGGCGGATGGACCCCGAAGGGACCCCCTACATTAACCACCCTATCGGTGGGCGCGCAGCCCTGGGAGCAACCGCTGCGGCGTCGGTGGAAGGGGTGGGGGGAGGCGTGCACCTCCATGAGCACCTGCTCTGCACCTAGCTTTGTGCCAGGCACTGTGGGTGTTTAAGCCTCAAACAACCTGGGGCGGTGGGCATGACTGTTCCCTGTGTATGGTTGACACCCAGAGAGTCAAGGACTTGCCCGAGGTCACCCAGTTAGTGAGGGGCCACATCTGGCTCTACAAAACCCATAACACGCGGGCCTGGGACATCCCTCCGGTCTGACTTCCTGCCTTGCCCCTCCCCCCTCACATCAGGTGTGGCTCGGATCCTGACCCACGAGGCGGGAGTCACTGACATTGTGGTGTTACAGGTAACTCCCCCTCCTCTTCCAGGAGGCTGGGGTGGGGACCAGGGGCCCCATTCGGCTCTGGGCACCCCTTGGCTGGCGTCACAGGGCTGAGCGCAAGCCTGTCCCCAGGCAGCCCTGCTCCACGACACGGTTGAGGACACTGACACCACCCTGGATGAGCTGGAGCTGCACTTTGGGGCCCAGGTGCGGCGTCTGGTGGAGGAGGTGACGGATGACAAGACTCTGCCCAAGCTGGAGAGAAAGAGGCTGCAGGTGGAGCACGCCCCCCACAGCAGCCCGGGGGCTAAACTGGTGAAGCTGGCGGACAAGCTGTACAATCTGAGGGACCTGAATCGCTGCACCCCAGAGGGTAGGATTCCCTGCCTGCTCTGAGGGCATGGGGAGGGTCCATCTCCTGGAGGCCCAGATGGCTCAGTTCCCCTGAAAACAAACAAACAAACAAAAAAAGCCTGGACACGCCATGAGCACTTTTCTGTCCGTTCACATGCAGGATGGTCGGAGCATCGAGTCCAGGAGTACTTCGAGTGGGCAGCCCAGGTGGTGAAGGGGCTTCAGGGGACAAACCGGCAGCTGGAAGATGCTCTGAAGCAGCTGTTTAAGGAGCGGGGGCTGACGCTGTGAGCGGTGCCTGGAGCCATCAGGTGGCACAGACTCCAGCCTCGCCCGGGCCAGAAGGGTCACGCATACTCCCGCCTTTTGGAGCCTCTCGAGCTCCCTCTATGGTTCCCTGAGCCCAGCGGCCGAAAAACATTCGCCCTTTCTCACTCTGAAGGTCTCCTGCCAACCAAACTGAGCCTGGATCGTGGGGGGTCGGACGCACCCCGTCCACGTCGAATGCATTCACTGCCCTTCAGGCCTTGGGTCTGTTTGCCATGTTGCAAAGGTGGGGGGGGGGTGTCTCTGGTCCCTTAAGGTCCCTTGGGCTTATAGGGACACGAGTTCCTAGTCATTATGGAAAATAAAGCATTTTGGGGTCAAGTTTAAGTGGCTGCTCCTTCCCCAGACTCTGGAGTGGGGAACCGGTAGGTGGGATCTACCTGCCCTGCACCCTGAAAACAGGGCCCTCGCCCTGGCCGAGCCTCGTTTCCCGATCAGCGAGAAAGGTGGCCATTCTCAGGGTCCCCTTTAAAAGCGACGGGCCAGCAGGGAGGAGCCCGAGACAGGTGCTCAAAAAATGGTGTTTGGCCCTGGTGAGCGAGGGGGGCCGGGTGGCAGGGGTGTTGAAAAAGGGGGACCCCGCAGCCACAGCGCAGGGGGCCGGGGCGGGGGGCTGCGGGTCCCGCGCCAACTGGGTTGCAGCGCTGTCACCTTGCGGGAGCCCTTTGGTTGCTAAGCTACAGACACTTCCGGGCTGCTCCGGAAGCGGCCCCGCCCAGGTAGCCGGGCGGTGGGCGGAGCCTGCGGTGGGCGGAGCCTGCGGTGGGCGGAGCGTCCGCGTGGGAGGCCCATCCCCACGGGGCTTTGGGTCCCTGCCCGGCTGCTGGGGTTTTATTAGCTCCTTTGAAAAGGGGACTCCCCTGCCCCCCAGGGAAATGAGACCGTTGTTAGGGAGGAAAAAAAAAAAAATTCGTTCTGGGCCACGATGATTTTTTTTTTTCCACCCAAAGGCGGCCCAGTGCACTTTCTGCAGGAAAAAACTAAATTAAAAAAAGGCAGCAACACAATGACTTTGAAAGGACACGAGTTGCGCCCTGGCCGGTGCGCCCAGTGGTTAGAGCGACCTCCCGGCGACCTCCAAAGGGTCACGGGTTCGAATCCGGCTGCAGGTTCCCTCCCAGCCCTTGGGGGCGACGGGGGGAGGCCAGCAGTGGAAGTTTCTCTCTCCCCCTCCCACTCTATCTCTAAAAAAAAAAAAAAAAATTCAATGCAAAAAATATCCTCCATGGGGATTAACAAAAAGGAAAGGAGTTTCAGGACAGGACCAGATGAACGGATAAAAAGTTCAGAAGTTCAGTGCAATCCTCCTAAGGCGGTGCCGGGTGCAGGGCTTTTTGGAGAATTTGGCTTTCGTGGGGCTCCACAGACCCTCAGTCCAGCCTTCACGCCCCGGTCAGGACAGGCCAGACGGCTGGACTTTCAACACGCGGTGCTGCTGAATCGGGACCACTCCCCGGGCAATGCTCCCTATGTCATTCTATGAGGCCCGTGTGCAGGAATAAGTATTTTAATTCCTGGCAGATGAATGACTTCATTGGGCATTTAAGATCTCCAAAGATAATAGCCTTTAACTTCCTAACAGGTTCCCAGATTTGTCCCTTATCATCGGATTACAAATTATATTATACTGGCAAATAACACCTACTGTAACGTAATTGCTTAGCGCCCTTCACTGACATTATAGCTCGTATTTATTGAGCTCCTATGTGTACCAGGCACTACGCTAAGCACTTGACGTTGATCTTACTTCTTCCCCTATGGTGTAGGCGGGACCCCTGGATTCCTGCCTCTTTCATTCTTAAAGCTTTGGGTAGCTGCTCAGCAGGCCCAGTGACTTTCCCCAAAGCAAGCTTTTCTCCTAAATCAACTGTACTCACCCATTTTTTTTAAATGCTGCAAATATTTTCTCCCAAATCTGTCATTTGCGTTTTAACCTTGATGTTATCCATCATAGAGAAACTTTGAGTATTTTTGTGGTAAAATCTGTCCTTTCCTTTATTATTATAACCCCTCCCCCCCCATACCAGAGGTGTAAAAATATCCTATATTATATTCTTCAGTAATTTTGAAGTTTAACTTTGATTTTTCCCCCCCGGAACTGGTTTTTGTGGAAACGCACTCACTTTTGTAGACAGCTAGTTGTCCCCAAGTGGTGCTTATTAAATAATCCAACTTTCCCCCCCTCAAACACTCCTTTTGTGTGTGCATGGGCTCTCCCATCTGTCCCACCAGTCTGTCCACTCCCACTCCAGGTCACACGCACTGAACTCACGGTCACTCGGGCCTCTTTTGGGGACGAGTGCCTGCCACCCACCTCAGCACGGCCACCCCCCGACTCAGCCATACTCAGAATCCTCTCACACGTTTACTCTTCCAAATGAACTTTAGAAACTGTCAAAAATTCCAAAAAGTATCCAGTGTCACCAGAATATAATGAATTTATGGGCTGTTTGGAGAAAGCCAGAGTCTATACAGGAAACTGGTATGTATCATCTGGGTCTGCTAAGACCTGCTCTTCAGTTGACGCGTTTAGATTTTATAGGTCCGCCCTTCTATGGTCTACAAATGACGACTCTCCCTCATCTGCCACACTGCAGGGGTCAGTGGTGCCGGGACTTTCCCAAATAACAGTAGGGCCTGGCCGGTATGGCTCAGCGGTTGAGCATCGACCTAGGATCCAGGAGATCACGGTTCGATTCCCGGTCGGGGCACAGGCCTGGGCTGCAGGCTCCTCGATCCCCAGCAGGGGGCGAGCAGGAGGCAGCCGATCCATGACTCTCATCATTGATGTTTCTCTCTCTCTCCCTTCCTTTCTCTGAAATCAATAAAGACATTTTTTTTAAAAAAATAGTAGGTCCTTGGCTAGTTTCTGACTTGAAGAGGACACCTGTGGAGTGTGACTCTTTAGAATGCCATTAACTCTTGTTTTCTGATAAGACACCTTTATCTAGGTTAGCATGTTTCTTTCTAATCTTATAATCTTAATAAGGGATAGACTGTAAATTTTGCAAAATATTGTTTCAGCATCTATAGAGACAATCACAGATTTTTCTCTGTTAATGAGGCTGAAAGGAAGGCTGACAAGCAGCCACAGTGCCTCTGATTTCTCACAGAGTCCTGGTCCCTGTGCCAGGCACCGAATTCTTCTGCGGGACACACTGACGTGAAGCTTCGTGGCCTGACGGTAAGGACGGTGCTAAGAGCCTCCTCAGGTTGCCCACGCACATGGGAACTTGGAGGCTTCACTCTCTCTCCAGGGAAAGGCAGGCTGCCAGAATAAACACCCCCGCGACTGCAAGGGGCACTCGGGGTGGGGGGAAAAGTGGTGTACAGAGTGCAGGAACCAAAGAGGAATCAGTAGGGTTAAGGACTCCCCCACATCCCTGCCTCCATGCCACAAATCAACACCGAGAACAAGCGCCCACTGTGAGATGGGGGTTTGGACCTGTGACCTGTGACCTCTGGCCAGGACAGTCTAGTGAGTCCTTCGGCCACACTGCAGCCCCTCGCCAGGGAGCACTCCGAGTGGAGCCATCACAGGGAGCGGGGATTCCTCCTACGTCTCCACCTGCTGCCAGCTCTGGGCCGCCACCCCCCCTCCTCCCAGCGCCCCTCTGCTCCTCCTCGTCACAGTCCCTACATGACCACAGGCCCCCTAGAGCCAGCCGACCCTGAGGCCGGGCTGTTACCCACTCAGCCTCCCCTACCTCTCCTGGTTCGTCTCCATCCCATTTTGGGAAAAGCATGGGTGCTTGAGCCTGTGCCCAACTGGGCGGCCACCTACACCCCCAAAGCAGAGGCCGGCCCTGCCCATTCTGACCCAGGGCCTCCTCTCCTGGATCTCACCGGCGTCTGCCCGGCTCCCCAGCACTGGGCCATGGCTTGCTCCCGAACACAGAAGCTACAATAAACAGGAAATGAGTGCCGAGCTCAGTCTGTCACAGTTCTGAGAGGTAGATCGGGACGGGACACCCAGGGTGGCTCGTCCAGCCCGACCTTATGCGAGAGGCAGTCTCTGTGGATGACCTTTCTTTCTCTCCAGGCCACAGGAAGCCCTAGCCCAGGCGGAGGCGAAAGGTGGCAACCTCCATGGGCTCCAAGTAGATGTCGGTGCTGTTGGAGGGCGAGGCCAGAGGGTACAGCAACGTCAAGGAGGTCGGCTGCAGGAAACCCACATCCAGGCCGTGGAAGAGGCTCCCCAGGGCCACCTGTGCAGGGGAGAGGAGGGCAGGGCTGTGCTGGGTGCTCACACGCCAGGTAAGGCAGTTTTCCCTCCATGTACCTCGCTGTGGCCCCGCTCAGCAGCGGTGTCCCTAGTCCCAGGCTCACCCAGACGTGCTCCGCCCGAGCCTAACCTTGGACCTCGGGCTGGAACCGCTGCACCGAGCTGTGAGCTCTTTGCGGACGGGGGCCATGTCTTGGTTCACGTCTGGGTGAGCCTGGGACTGGAGGCATTTACGGGTGCCGCTCAAACAATGACCAGAGCGTGGTGGCTCTCGGTTTTTTAGTTCTGTGTTTTCCAGTTTGTCTGATGGATGTCCCGCCTCATGGAACAGCTGTCCAGCTACATGTCTCTTCTAGAACCTGCCCACTAGGCCTCAGTAGCTTTGAAAACCAATGTCAGCAGCTTCCCCTGTTCTCTCTAAAATGCCCAGAGTTGCCCGGCCAGTGTGGCTCAGTGGCTGAGCATCGACCTAGGATCCAGGAGGTCACGGTTGGATTTCTGGTTGGGGCACATGCCCGGGTTGCAGGCTCCTCGATCCCCAGCAGGGGGCGAGCAGGAGGCAGCCGATCAATGACTCTCATCATTGATGTTTCTCTCTCTCTCTCCCCCTTAACTCTCTCTGAAATCAATAAAGACATATTTAAAAAAATAAATAAGTAAAATGCCCAGAGTGACCCCTGTCCCGATGGCTGCCTGACCTCCCTGCAGTCTCACCAACATCTCTTGCGCCTGCCGTTCCCGGCGGCCCCATTTCCCTACCTCCTCTCACCGGGGGCTTCCTTCCCACACCCGGTCCCGCTCACCTTGCCCTGGCTTGTGGTGCAGTTGAAGCCCAAGTTCTTGGCCTCCAGGCCGCAGTCGAAGCCTTTGCGGTGCAAGATGAGAGCAGCCTCCGCCGAGGGCAAGGCGTCCTCCTGGGTGACAGACAGACAGCACAGAGGCGGTCGCCCCTCCGAGCTCACAGGTGCAGCGCACCTCTGCCTGGAAGGCGGCGCTGGGACGGGGGGCAGTCTGGGTGCGGACAGGCCAGGACCTGGCCCGGGGGAACCCGGGGCTGAGCGGGGTACTCACCTCGGCCTGGAGTGTGCGCAGGTTG